CCCCAAAACCCCAAAACCCCAAAACCCCAAAACCCCAAAACCCCAAAACCCCAAGGCAAGATCACCGGGTTGAAACTTACGGTTCACAATAAACATTCTAAAATGTAGAAATTTCTAGTAATTTTTGGGAATATCTCATAAAAATTGAACAAAATTAGAGAAGCTATTAGTCAAATTTAAGCTTATATGAGGTGGTCAAGCTGGTTGTCATCCAGCATAATTTCTTCAGCAAAGATTTGCTCTACCTTTTCATCCTTCTCGTAGTATTTTGACTCGATTCCTTCACGGTCGTTGGTGAAAGCAACGCGATAGGCTTCTTCAATATTTTTAACGAAGAAGATCTCAAATCCTTCCTTAAAGTCATCAGGGAGCTTCTCAAAGTCTTTCTTGTTGCTGTAAGGAAGCATTACTTGTGTTATATTATGATTCTTGCAAGCAGTCAATTTTTCACGGACACCACCAATTGCCACAACCTCTCCAAGTGTTGTAATTTCGCCAGTCATCGCGAGATTTGGATTCAGAGATTTATTTCTAATTATTGAAGCTAAAGAGCAGAATAGAGCAACCCCAGCACTTGGTCCATCCTTGGGGATTGCTCCCTGTGGAACATGGAGATGGAACTCGTTCTTTCCTTCTACTTCATCACCAAGGTAATTTAGAGTGGCAACTTGGACTACATCGAGGGACTCTTTCATTACTTCACCAAGTCTTCCTGTTTGACTGACTACAAATTCAATTTCATCTTCTTCATCCTTCTTTTTCTTCTTAAGAGGGAATTTCTTGACAAACTGAATTTTAAGAACTGATCCATATCCAGAGTCAATATAGGCAAGCCCATTTGCGCATCCAACTGGGAGGGTCTTATTAATATCTCTATAATAGTAGTCATCATTCCTAGAGACATCTAAAAATTTCTCTAAATTTTCAGAATGGATCTGGTATTGAGCAGTTGTGAGCTCCTTATCAATAATAGCAGTAGGGTCGATATCAGCAGCACCATCTTCTTCAAGTCCATCTTCTACAGTGGCTTCAGTCTCAGTTGCTTCAAGTAGTTTCTTTTCAGTCTCTAATTTGCTATCTCTTTCATCTATCTTAGCAACGACTTTTCTGAAGACTCTGTCAATTCACTTTCTGAGGTTTCTGACTCCTGCTTCAAAGCCGCAGTAATCTTTGATGACCTTGGCGATAGCTGCATTTGTGAATGAAATTTCTTCCTTTTCCTCAACAAAGCCATATTCCTTCCTGAAATTAGGAATTAAGTACTTCTTGGCAATTGACAACTTCTCTGTGGGCAGATATGGAGGTACCTCTATCACCTCAATTCTGTCTAATAGGGGCTGCAACATGTTCTGAGTTGAGTTAGAGGTACAGATGAAGATACACTCTGAAAAATCAAACTCAAAGTCAAGATAATTGTCGCTGAATGTGTTTGCCTGCTCTGGGTTTAGTAATTCTAGCAAGGTAGAAGAAGGATCTCCTCTGATGCTGTTGAAACCAATTTTGTCAATCTCATCAATGATCAACACTGGGTTTCTCACTTCTAATCTTTGGAGTTCTTTAATGAAGATTCCTGGCTGGGAGTCAACATAAGTTCTTTTGCTTCCTTTAATATGGGAAGGATCGCTTTGTCCAGACATTGAGATCACAGCTGTTGGTCTCTTCAAGCAATCTCCAATACTGTTGGCAATAGATGTCTTTCCTACACCAGGAGGTCCTGTCAGTAAGAGTACCATTCCTTTCTTGGAATTGATCCTTTTATTCTTGGCAATAAATTCTAGAATTCGTTCTTTTGTTTCAACCATCCCGTAGTGACTTTCCTCAAGGACTTGTCTTGAGAACTGGACATCCCAGTAAGCGTCAATTCTCTTGTCCCAAGGAAGTCTGAAGACGTGTTGAAGGAAGGTAGCCTTCCTGGCGGAGTCCATATCACTAGACTTTGACTCGAGTCCATTGATTTCTTCTTGGATAATCTTCCTAATTCTATCTGGCATCTCTTCAACCTCATCGAGCATCTTCTGGAAACTGTCCTTTTCATTAGTTTTGTTGTTTTCAAGGACCTTCTGAAAAGCACTTTCAAGCATGGCTTGTTTAGACCTCTCCTTGAACTCCTCTGCAGTCTTTTGGATATAGTAACACTTCTGGTCAAGCAAGTGGGTGAATTCATCAAAAAGATAGGTGACCTTCTTGGATCTCATTACTGGATCAATCTCGACTAGGAAGTCCTTCATCTGCTTCTTCATGTCTTTCTGATCCTTTGAGAACAAAGCTTGGAACATCGAAAAGTAGTAATGGGCCATCTTGCAAGTGATTTGGTTGAACAATTCATACAGAGAAATCTCACTTCTGTATCTATGGATTTCAAAATTTGGCACTGGCAATGTTTTCACAACCATATCATACGTGTTAATCATCTCAGATGGGAGCATCATCAAGGCAGAATTCATTCTCTTATTAAACTGGAACCATGTATTCTTCAAATCAGAGATTTCTGAGTTAATAAGGTCCTCAAAATGAGGTTTGTCAGGACAATTTTCAGATTCAAATATCTCTTCCAAAGTCATATCTACTTTTTCTCCTTCGCTATTTCTGACTCTATAGAGCCTGTCTCCGTACTCAACTGCCTTCACAAAGTTGGTTTGGTCATCGTAGCTGATGACCTTGAATCTTTTGAATGATTTGGACTCAACAACGTTCATGTTACTGCTTCCTCTATCAAGCTCGATTTCAATTCCTATGGCTTCTTTTGCGTTAGAGTTCTTATTAGCCAAAAAGTGGACACCAATAAGTTTCTCCACAGAGCTCTTATCTCTTGAATACCTCTTAAAGAACTGCTGGATGTATTTGTTCTGTGTCAAAGGGAACTTAGAGTAAGGTAGGATAGGGCTATTGAACTTAATAGTATACATCTCCTGTACAGGCTTGTTTTCAAACATCTCAACTCCTTCAGAACTCTCCAAAGTTTGATTTCCGATCTCAGCTGCATCTTCACCCTGAGCTTCAGAGTTAGTATTGAAAAATCTTGAGGCGAATCTCTTCTTCGTTCCTAGGAGGCCACCTCTGACACTAGGAGCCTCAGATTCATCTTTTTCCTCTTTTTCCTCCTTTTTAGCTAAATTGTCCTTGTCCTTGTCATTCTTAGTGGAGAAGGTTCTCAAATTTGAAAGATACAGCTGAGAATTCACACGCAATTGCTTTCCAATCAAAACCTTCTTGGTGGAAGCCACCAATGGAGTAATTCTTCTTGTCAAATGGAACATTTCTTGATTTTTTGGTAGAAAAATTATTATATTATTATGATAATTTGGAGATCCAATCTTAAATTTCTTTCGTGGGGTTTTGGGGTTTTGGGGTTTTGGGGTTTTGGGG